ATAAGCAGATCTAACTAAATATCTCCAAGACTGAACACTGAATCTGGAAATGTGATCTTCATGAATCTCTTCAACATTTCAGTAAACTTCAGATTTTACCCTAAGTACAGGGTGGTAAGAGCCTAAACCAGCTTCTCATTTTCACTTGGCTGAATGAAACCATTGCTTTATGAATGATTAGGTTTCCCCTGCCCTGAAGAAGAAACTAGGCACGCTGGGTGAAATTATTCAGTCCTGCATGAATCTGAGAAACTATGCATACTACTTGGGCTTATGTAGTTGGCCTATGTAGAGGTTAGGGGTAACAAAATCCAACCTTCTGCAGCTTTCAGGCAGTCTGTGGGGCTGTCCCTTCACAGTCCCTATAAGACTGGGCACTTACAGTGTAGTTCAAATAGTCACTCCCTAGGCCTATCCCCAGTTACTCGCCTCTGTGCCAGGATATTAAAATGCAACAGATATGGAGGCTGATCCAGTGGTTAGAGCACTACCCATAAACTTTCCTGCTCCACCACAGCCTTCCTGAAAAGTCAGTCTCTATGTGCTTCGGTTCCCCATCTGTAAAAAGAAGCTGATAATACTTTCCTACCTCACAGGGTGTTGTGAAGATAAACACATTAAAGACTGTGAGGTGCTCAGATGTAGGCCATATAAGTAACTAAGATATATAGTTAGCAGGAGCTCATTTCCCCAGCATATAGAGGCCTCCCCTTCAGCAGCTGTTCCACCTGTGTCTCCTACCATGATTCCAGTCAGCGAATGTTACCCATTTTGAATGTGTTTCATTTAATTCTCTGAAAACGTGATGTAATGTGGTCACTGTGGATGATGAAGTGACAGTCACAGAGAGGAATAATACCAATGTTGGTGTAGTATTTCCCAATACATACGTCAGTGATAGTGAACTATATGAATAAATAAAGACTTTTAAGGAACATTATGCCTGGGAAACTTTAGTTGGAGTCAATGTAATAGTGAAGAATAGCGTGCCTATGAGCCAAATCCACCTGTATGTTATGGTTGTTTTATGCCACAGAGCAGCTATAAACTCATCACAAAGGACCTGGAGCGTACTGGTGAATCTAGGCCTATTACTGTAAATAAGTATCAATGCTTTAATGCCTATTAGTCAGTGACTCAGCTCCATGTCTTTCTTACATAAAAATATGTATTAGTAGAACAGCATAATTCACTTTACTCAGAAGACTCATTTAATTAGATACCACAAGCAGTTTACCTCTAAATAGTCAGTGCTCTCTGGTATTTAGGACAAAACCTTGTTATGAAGTTCTAGTCCAGTTCTTTACTGATTAACAACCGTCAGCTTCATTTCACTGGCTATTGTTTCCTAGAGACCTCAAACAGTGGCCCTTACTTTGTCCCTTGACTATTGCTCTCTCTAAATCTCCAGGTAGCCTGTTCTCCAGGTCCTCCAAACTCAACAAGGAGCACTGTCTATAGCAGCTACAGTGCTGCAGTTAGGAGATGCTCATTCTCTTTTGAGGTTTGTCATGACTGGGTTATTTGTAGATATAAAGGCTATGGATAAGAAGTCTGATTCTCTGGTGCCATGCACACTTCCTGTGGACATCTTCACTCACTTTAACTACACAAGATAATATGCAGGCCCTCATATTTATTATAATACTAAACTAGAAACAGGGCCAAAGCAAAAGGTGGAGTCTGAACACACCTGAATTTCAGGGGAGCTTTGGTTTGAATGTGAACTTTGCATCCCATCTCTTCTCTCACTAACAAATGACATAATTATTTCCTAGTTCCTTCCTGTTTCCTCATTTTCATTGACCACTTAGCCTAGCATCAACCACAGCAGGGTAAATTCTGCTCACAACTAATACAAAGATCATCAACGCCACTCCGTCCTGCTCAGGGAGCAATGATACAAGGTGCGCTGCTATCTCCATAGCTTTCCAGTCTCCTTTTTTCTTTGCCTTTTAAGATGAACTATCACATTTGTCTGAATGTTGGGGATACACCTTCCACTCATAAAAGTGTTATTGTTTCTAAAATCTTTTCTATTGCTTTATTGTTTTAAAAATATAAGGTTTGATAGGTCCTGGGTTACTAATATACAATAAAACACCAACTCAAGGCTCTGTAAATTTGTCTTTCCTCTCTTATTTTTGACACTCTCCTCTTATTCACAAAATTCCTGACTGTTCTTATAATCATATTCTACATATAAATTGAGCTGTGCTTTGATCAAGTCACAGCTGGAGTTTAGTACACTAGGCTTTCACCTCTGGAGACTTGTGTTCAAATGCTGATTTAGGCTACAAGCAGACATTTTTGGGGTAGTTTCATTCAAGTCTCATTTTGGCACCACTGCAAAGCCAACACATAATTTGGCACAATTCAGCATGATTGTCAGTCTTCGTTCAAGAGGAGCCAAGGACTGGGACAGCATAGCAAAGAGATTTCAAGTCAGAACTGAGTACACCAGAAGAGCTGCGCAGGGCCTGTCTGCACTAACTCAAGACACTGCTGTAGTCCTTCATTCTCCTTTAACACTATCAGCACAAGTTCACCCATGAAAACCAACACTCCTTGGAACCAGTCAATGTAATTAGTGTAACTGAAGGGAAAACCTGCATTTATTCTGTGTTTTTAGTGCTTCTGAAAGATGCCACTGGACAACAAAGCTCTGTATTTAGCCACAGCGAAGGCTGTTGCAAACTTGTTCCACAGCTCTGCCATGGAGAGACCATCTCTAAGGTGGACAGGGGATGTTCACCTTCTATGCTCATTCAGTCTTTGGCCATGTGAAGAGACCCACCATCAAGGGGTGCCAGATAGGGTGGTAAGTCTCGTAAATGTGGGCATCTATCAAGTAGGACCTGGACTGAGGCTAAATTTGTTTCCGACAGGCTCTTGAATAGATATCAAATGATAATGTCTTTCAATCACTACTAACATGAGCTAAATTCAAAAAAGACCTATAGGTCTATAGAAGATCATATCATTTTGCCAGTCCCCCCTCCTATTAATTTCCCAATTATGATTAAAATCTATTTTAATCTACCCAAATCTAAAAGATTAGCATGACTTAGCATAGACCTTTTTTTTATAGAGAAACAGAGGGCTAGAGATGGGTGATCCAGTTTCCTGATCCATCAAACTCACACTTTATGATGGAGTTAATTTCCCCTGGCTATAGGAAGTTGTGTATATGAAGAAGTGGCAAGTAATACGTCAGCTTTAAAGAGAACAAACTGTTGCAGGAACATAATACACTGTAGGTATACAGCTGGTCTCAAAATGCCTGCTAGCACCTTTCCCTTCCTGTTATAGCATGTAACATCTGTTTCTTAAGTGAAAGAGTGTGAGGAAAATGAGCACGAGTGGTGTACACTGACATATGAGGGCCAAGGAAGTGATTTATTATATTTCAAACAGAATGTTTCTGTTGCAAAAACAAAAGCAAAGTCTGAATGTGTCTTTGTCTAGTGATTTGGGTATGATGCATTTTTTAGTTTGGAAGGGGGTGGGAGGATTGTAATATTTTTATTAAAGCATAGCACAAAACTACAGGGCCAAGAAAAAGTTAACTAGTACAGTGAATGAAAACAGGATCCCATAAAAAATAATTAAGAAAGGAGCTCCTGTTCTTAACACGGGAGCTGCTTGCATTTTATAATTATTTTTGCCAAAATAATTTTTACCTATTCTCAAAGACTCGCTGGTGGATGACATGGGGTGTACAGTCTGAGGGGGGAAATAGAAAAAAAGCAATAGAAACAAACCAGATGCAATGGACTGTTCCAAGTGCCTGTGCTCAACCCATGCACAACCACAGACACCATCTGGAGAGGCCTGCATCATCTCGTCAATGACACATGCAGGTCAAAAAGACCAATTAAAAATGCTAGGAGCCATTACTGCTAACAGTAGTTTAAATCAATAGGACTACTCAAAGAGTAAAGACACTACTCACTATGAGTAAAGATGGCAAAATGAGGCCTTACGTTTGTATAAAAACTAAATAAAAAAATTAACTGCTGAAGAAACAGTCAAAAAACTCATGTATTCCAAACCAAGGAAAGGTTAAAGAAAAGCATTTTATTCACATTAGTAATATACATTAAAAAGTTTTTGTGGAATGATCTGAGAGTCAGTGATTACAGGAGTTAAACAGAATAGCACTTAGATAACTAAAGACTGCAGGTCACACTTAACAAATCTGATTAATTTATTTGAGGAAGTGACAATAAGAACTGCTAAGGATGAAGTAGCAGATATTATCTACAGCATTTGAACCTGACAAAGGCTTTTGATACAGTGCCACCTAAAAGGCTGGTGTAAAATTTTAGTTAATGTGATATTGATGGTGAAATTCTCAACTGGTTAAAAAAAATTGCTTAGTAACTGAGGCCATATGATAAATGGATACATACTGAGTAGGGAGGAGCTGACAAGTGAAGTGTTAAAAGAATCTGTTAGCAGTAGAGCTGCTGTTGTTCATAGGATAAACCAATGACCTAGAGGAGGAGGAATGTTTATCAAGGTGTTCAAATTTGCAAGAGACATGAAACATTTAGAAAATTAGCAGGAAAAGCAACTTGAAAGTGACCAGGCTAGGTTAGGGTTGAAAAAATTGGATTTTTGTGTGGGAAAAAAATTGGGGTAATAAAAACTAGGTTAAAAAAATGCTCAGTCGTTCATATTCTAGGGCAGGGATCGGCAACCTTTGGCATGTGGCTCACCAGGGTAAGCACCCTGGCGGGCCGGACTGGTTTGTTTACCTGCTGTGTCCACAGGTTCGGCCGATCGCGGCTCCCACTGGCCGCAGTTCACTGTCTCAGGCCAATGGGGGCTGCGGGAAGCGGCACGGGCCAAGGAACGTGCTAGCTGCCGCTTCTCGTTGCCCCCATTGGCCTGGAGCGGCGAATCGCAGCCAGTGGGAGCCGCCATCAGTCGAACCTCCGGACGTGGCAGGTAAACAAACTGGCCCAGCCCACCAGTATGCTTACCCTGGCGAGCTGCGTGCCAAAGGTTGCCGATCCCTGTTCTAGGGCCCTGATTCAGCAAGGTATTTGAAAATGTGCATCTCAATTACTGCAATATCCTTTTCTCTGACCTTGATAAATACAGTCTTACCCTGCTAATATCCATTGAAGTGAATACAACTAATCAGATGCTTAAAGTTAGGCATGTGTTTAAGAACTTTGCTGAACTGGGGACCAGTTGTTCACGTATTGTAAGACACTGATGTGGAAAAGACTTTGAAGTGATAATGGATCCATCAGTTCCAGAACTGGTATCCCATGGGAAAGCCTAACCCAGTTTCTTGACCAAAGACTCAGATGATTGTCAGATGCTTCTCCAAACCATTCCTCCCTACTTTGTGAGCTTTTCCCCTTCACTAATAGTCAATCTCAAGGATTGTAGCTATTTAGAGTAAGAAAAAAAATCTCCATTCTTTATACATGAAGCAATTAGGAGGGGAAGTGAATATGCTATGTAAAACTCTGAGGGGAATAGAAAAGATGGATGCCAAAAAGCTGTTCGAAAGGGTAACAAGCTAAAAATAAAATGATTCAAACTAAGCTAACAAAAGACTGGGTCTTAAAAGAGTGAGAAATTTCTTTATACAAATGCAATTAGTGTAGAAATGGATTAACCCAGGCTTCATTAGAAGCTATTGCAAATATACCCCACTTGTCCCAGTGATGCCGTTGCATCCCCTGATCTCCCTTGCACCTACTCTGATCCCCTCCCTTACTCTTCTCCTTAACCTCTCACTCTCTTCTGACTTTTTCCTCAGATCATAAAACAAGCATGCTGTCTCCCATTTTAACCCTTCCCACCCTGGAGCTCACTAGTCTCTACCTTCTCTGCCTCATCTCCCTTCTCTCTTTCATCTCTAAACTCATTGAACAAACTCTCCACAATACCTTTCTGGAGTCCTTCTTTTCATTTCCAGCCTAAATCCTATCAAATCCAGCTTCTGCCCCTTGCAGTACACTCATATCACTCTCACCAAAGTCTTTAATGACCTTCTCCTAGTCACAGATCAGAACCAGTACTCCATCCTCAACCTCCTTGATCTGTCAGCTACTTTTGACACAGTTGACCATGTTCTTCTTGTCCTCCCTTAGCTGCCATGACTCTGTCCTTTCCTGGTTCTCCTCCTGCCTCTCTAATCATTCCTTCAGCAGATCATCCTCATCCCCCTCCAACTTTCTTGGGGGAAGGTCTACTGGATTCTATCCTTGGTCCCTTTCTCTTACCCCTTTACACCCTCACTCTGGATAATCTCATCCACAAACACAAATTTAACTACCATCTCTATGCTGATGACCTAGAGATATACTTCTCTTCTCCAGAGCTGCCTCCTGTCTAAACTGAAGTCTCAATCTGTCTCTCTAACATCTCTTTATGGATGTCTAGCTGTCAACTCATGGTCAACATATCTAAAATAGAGCTCTCAATCTTCCCCTCAATCCCTCCCCTCTACTCCCCTCTTTTCTAGATCACTATGGCAATACCACCAACCTGCCTCTCAGGCCCATAACCTGGATGTCATCATTGATTTGGACCTCTCTCTAGGTCTTCACATCCAGACTTATGTCTAAGTCTTGCCAATTCTCACTGCATAATATCCCTAAAATGGATATCCTATCCAGCCACACACCTAAAATCCTTGCCCAGGCTCTGATCATCTTGCATCTCCAATACTACAACATCCTTTTCTCTGGCCTTGATAAAAGCAATCTTACCCTGGTCATATCCATTCAGAATGCTTCTGCAATAGTCATTTTACAAGCCTATTGCTTTGACTATGTCCCCCCTGTCTGGGCTTCCCTCTACTGGCTCCCACTTCTCTATCACATCAAACACAAGCTTCTCATCTTCACTTTCAAGGCCCACCCAAAATATCATCTCTCATTCACTTTCAAGATGTCAGCTCTTTCTTCCTTTGTCCACTTGTTAAATTTTCAAACAAGCATCTTAAACATCTATAAAGCTACCTCATTATCCTCCTTCAAAATCTTCCTTTGCTGTGATGCCTACAAAAAGCTTGGCAATGTATCTAGGCTGTTGTCTATCATCCTGACCAATATCATTTTAATTGTTTCCTTGTAATCCCCTATCTAGCTGTTGTTTCCATCTGTAGTCTCTTGTTTTAATCTTAGATTGTAAACTTTTTGGGGCAGTACCTAGCAGAGTTGGGTGGTAGTCCATGCCAAGGGCTCCTAGGTGCTATGGTAAAACAAACAAACAAACAAACAAATAAATAAATAATATCAAACAGAGATAGATTAGCATGTGGAAGAAAAAACAAACAGGGTCATACACTCATCTTCATGTGAAAATTTATGGAGAATGGGGAACCACCATGTCACCATGTGAAGCTGTTTCTGGGCCACAGCTCTGCATGTTGTCCCATCTAGTATGCAGGCTAGAAGCAGAAAGAATAGTTAGTGAGTGGGATTGCTAGCATTAGCAAAAGACTGAAATACAGAGGAACAATAGGGTCAGATTCCATGGACTTTGTTCTGTCCAAGATTCTCCCTCGTTCAACACGAGTAGCACAGCTCTGCCATGACGATACCGGATGGGCCCATAAGTCTCCAGAGAGTGAAAAGCCATGGAAGAGGTACTCATAGGCTCACCTCACTTCTAAAGGAAGATTCTTTCTATACTGTGACTTACTCCACTCTGCAAAGGGAAATGGATGTGGTAATGCTGCTCTTCCATCTACTCCTCTGTCTTTGGCTATGCCCTCCAGTTGTGAAGAGTGCTACACTGCAGCCATGAAGAAGTAGTGCTTGCTATATACTGTGGAGTATGCTACCACATAGCCACCTTTTGCATTTGTACATCCCCCATTGCCGTGGAGGGCAACCTGTAGCCTGTGGGCTGTATGCGGCCCATGAGGGTAATCTGCTGGTGGGCCGCGAGACAGTGTTTACATTGATCGTCCACAGGCTTAGCCGCCCGCAGCTCCCAGGGACCACAGTTCGCTGTTCCTGGCCAATGGGAGTTGTGGGAAGCGGCGTGGGCCTCAGGGATGTGCTGGCTGCCGCTTCCCGCAGCTCCCGTTGGCCGGGAATGGCGAACCCCAGCCACTGGGAGCTGCGGGAATGCTGTGCCTGTGGACCGTCAACCCGCGGGCCGCAGGTTGCCACCACTGCTGCCATTGGTTTCCCATAATTTTTCCATACCATACAGTAGATGAAGGACCATGTGGTCTTTCTAAAAATGTGACTAGGATATTGTGTCCTGACTTATATTTCCAACATTTAATTTTTCCATAATGTTCACTTCTATTTATTAGCACATTTTAAAATTGTACTCACTGGAATAGCCTTATTGGGGCTGGGAAGACCGAGAGAGAGAGAAATCATGTTTGCAAGGATCCTACGGAGAAAGAAATCATTCAGTCATATTACAGAATGCTCAGTGCAACACATATATGGCTAAAGAATGCATACCATCATGGGAGGCCTTTTGTTTGGCAGTTAGAAGATACTAAAACTTAGTTCCTTTTCCCTTTAAGATACTATAATGCCAAACATGGGGTTTTAATTGTTTTTTAATTATGTATTTTCCTAGAGAGAATTAGGAAAGGTTAAAGTGAATGTCATTTGGGTACTGAACAAAGAAAATGTGTGGCTATTATTCCATTAATGTATTATTCAAGAGGAACAGCAATTAATTCTAATTAAATATATTGTCCTAGCCATATTAAAAATATCAATGTTTCAGGTGGGCAGGGATTATCTCCCTCTGTGGTGCTTATCACTTCACGTAGGCATTATTTTACCTGTAACTCTGAACCACTAACATTACCATTCCAATCATTGAAATATGCTAAATATGTAATACATGCAGAATGAATCAAGGCAAAAAGATGCACCATTTTGAATCCATCTTTAATGTATTGTCATGAGGTGCATGTTCTCAACTGTTCCTTGAACAGACTGCAGACCTCCATAAAACAGTAATTTATGCCAGCTATTCTGCTTGCTGGAAAACTACACTGTTCTAAAGTATTTTAATCTTATTGGAACTATTTGTTTCATTTAAATTTGAAAACAGCTTTTTGAAAGCCCCTACATGCACAGCATTCCTGGACTCCTTCTAGGTGTTAATGGAAACCTTCAAGTAAGGAGGAAGCAGAGAAGAGACTTACAATGTTGCTCAGGTTTTTCTTGCTATTAAACTAGCCTAAGATACATAGACTGTATGCCCAATAGTTGGAACAGTTAAACAAGAAGGCCATAGGTGCTGGAACTACGGGTGCTGGGGACGTTGCTGCACCCCCTGGCTTGAAGGGGTTTCCATCATATACATGGTTTACAGTTTAGTTCAATGGCTCTCAGCCCCCCCACTATACAAATTGTTCCAGCGCCCATAAAGCAGCCTGGTAACCAAGTCCAAAAATAACCATGTTAAGGAACGACACTAAGTACAGGATACCTAGCCCTTCTGAAAGCCATGTTCTCCTTGTTATTTTGATATACTGTGTGTCCACTTGGGAAGTTTCATAGAGGAGCAAGCTTTGCAAAAAGTGTAGTTGGCTAGTTTTCTGCTTGATCGTAGTGTCATATTGCCAAATTCTACCTTTGAAACTGCACAGCTAACTTTCTCTGGGTTAAATATACTATTACCAATGGACTTAGGTTGCCTTGCACCAGTAGTGAACTTGGCACACTGTGTGCCTATCCAAGTGCAGATTTTTGGTCCAGTGTCCTGTGCTTATGATTAAGGCTACATTTTAGTCAGGTATTTTTAGCAAAAATTCATGGCCCGTGACCTGTCCACAACTTTTACTAAACATACCTGTGACTAAAACTTGGGCAGGGGGCCGCAGGTGCTCTGGGGGGGGCGGCAATCGGGGATGCTGCGGATGCTGGGGGCGGGAGCCCAGGACCCTGCTCGTGCTCGGTGTGGGGGGATCCAGGCTGTGGTGCACAGCCCAGGACCCCTGCTGGTGCTGGGGGGGGGAGAGGGTTGGTGGGGCTGGCAGGGGCTCCCTACCAGCTCCACATCCCTACATGTCCTACGCAACGGAGGGGCACAAGTGTCAGCTGCCACCGCTCCCATTGGCTGGGAACCGCAGCCAATGGGAGCTGCAGGGGCAGACCCTGCTGGCACAGGCAGCACACAGCACGGAGTCCCTCCCTCCTCCCCCGCCCCGACTCCTCTGCCTCCTAGAAGCTGCAGGGCCATGCCAGTGGGAGCCCCCCACCCTGAGGTAAGTGCCCCCCTGCACATCCAAACCCTCTGCCCCTAGCGCTGAGCACCCTCCTACACACCCAAACTGCTGTTGCTGCCCAGCTTGGGCAGCCCCTGAGCCAGCACTGGCCACTGCAGAAGTCAAAAGAGGTCACAGAAAGTCACAGAAGCCGTAACTTCCGTGACAGACTTGCAGCATTACTTATGATATTACAGCTTATTGCCATGAAAGGATGGGCTGTCGCTGCAAGGTCAGCTAGAAGATGGGCTATGAGAGCAGAAACATTTTTTAAATACAGCTGGGCCAGACTCTCGGCTGGGCATAGTCAAGAGTGGGAGTCTCAAAGAAGCTGAATGTGGCTTCCTGGTTCTGGAGTTGGTTCTATGCTACTTATTACACAGACTACAACAGTCACAGGGTTTTTTCTCTCATCTGCCCCCGCTGGCAGACCGCCCCTTGGAGTCAGAGCCAGCTAGGGATTGCTAGAGTGCAGTGCACTCCAGTTGTCTACTTTTCTCACCCCTGGCATGCCCCCTGTGCAGAGAGCCAATGATTCTGGCTTTACCCTATGGCAGGGATCGGCAACCTTTGGCACGCGGCCCGCCACGGTAAGCACCCTGGCGGGCTGGGCCGGTTTGTTTACCTGCTGCGTCCGCAGGTTAGGTTCGCCGCTCCAGACCAATGCGGGTGGCAGGAAGCAGCGGCCAGCACATCCCTTGGCCTGCGCTGCTTCCCGCAGTCCCCATTGGCCTGGAGCGGTGAAACGCGGTCAGTGGGAGCTGCGTTCGGCTGAACCTGCAGACGTGGCAGGTAAACAAACAGTCCTGGCCCGCCAGGGTGCTTACCCTGGCGGGCCGCGTGCCAAAGGCTGCCGATCCCTGCCACGGGGCCAAGCCAGAAACATTGGCCCACCGCACCGGG